AACACCAAAAACTGTATGCTTTAATTTTTTTTTGCTGTCGTTGGGACTTACTTTGAGTTTTCTTGCATCTCTGTAGCTGTTGCAAAGGCACTAAGAGGAGCTGCTGAAGGAAAGGCCTTGGCTCAAGCCGATGCTGCTGAATGGAAGGGAAGATATGAATTGGAGAAGTCGAGGAACCTCAAGTTGCAGCATAAAGGTTCTTTACTAACTTAAATAGGACTGTTTTTTAATAGTTTTGATCTGAATGGGGCTATTGGCCACGTATGAGTTTGAATAACAGAATTGCTGTCTTGTATCACAGAATGTCAGAATCGTCAAATGGAGTATCTGCCGAGGAATTCATCAATGACAATCTCCTCTCCTACTCAAGCCCATCAAGTGTTCTTGAATTACCGAGGAGAGCAACTCCGACACAATTTCATTAGCCACCTCATTGATGCCTTCGAGAGGCACGATATCAACTTCGTCGTAGATAAGTACGAGCAGAGAGGCAATGATCTCAAAAATCTCTTTGTAAGAATCGAAGAGTCGAGGATCGCGCTGGCTATCTTCTCTACAAGGTTTTGTATACTAGTGTGCATGTTAAAACTAACTAGAGACGAGTAATAAGAATAAATTAGCTATATTACGTAACCCTTGTAAGAAGAGTATTGTTATATGCTATCGTACTAATGGTGGAAATGTATTATTTATACATAGGTATGCGGAATCGAGGTGGTGCATGGATGAGTTGGTGAAGATGAAGAAACTTGTGGATCAAGAAAAGCTCCGAGTCATTCCTATCTTTTACAAGGTCAAGGCACAAGACGTGAGAGGACAAGAAGGTGAGTTTGGTAAAAACTTCTGGAAGCTTGCAAGAAAGCCCTCTTCTAGTGGAGATGATATCAAGAATTGGAAGGAAGCTTTAGAGTGTATCTCCGACAAGATGGGTTTGTCTTTAAGAGACAAGAGGTAGTTTCAACTCACACTCACTATTCTTCTTTTTGCTCTTTTAAACGCTCAAAGTTTAAAATGGGAATTGGATATTTTCTGATTTATTGTATACTTTTATTTTGAAAGCTCCGAAGCCGAATTTGTCAAGGAAATTGTTAAGGAGGTTCAAAGAGTGAATCCGAGGAAGGCAAAAATAATTTTGTGTTGAACGGAGAATGTTTTAGAATTGCAATCTCTGTTGTATTTTTGTTAAAGCTTAATCATCAAATGTTGGAACCTAGACATGAACCAGAGGTTGTCGTTCCTGGAGATCCTCAAGAGGCTTGGGAAACTTTTCCCCCTCACCACTGGGGCTTATCCCTTATATATTAATTGGAGAGCAATTTCTTGAAAAGAGTTTATGTGTCATCACCAAATTCATTCTCATAATTTTAATGTGATATGACATTGTAAAAAATATGACATGACATTTACACCAAACTCTTAAAAAAATCTCTTAAAAAATCGTGAAAACCAAACCAAACCTCTTCAATTGACTCCAAAAAAATCGGAGCAAACCAAACATTTTCAATTGATTAATTTTTTTAATTAAAATCGTGATAAATATATTTATCACTCAAATATATTTATCATACTTAAACCAAACTTGAATTAAAATCAGATAAATATATTTAACTCCAAAAAAATCGGAGCAAACCAAACATTTTCAATTGATTAATTTTTTTAATTAAAATCGTGATAAATATATTTATCACTCAAATATATTTATCATACTTAAACCAAACTTGAATTAAAATCAGATAAATATATTTAACTCCAAAAAAATCGGAGCAATGAAATATAGAGCCAATTATAAGAAGATTAAAAATAATTAGATTTTACCAAAACAATTAACACAAAAAAATAGTCCTTTAAATTATGAAATTCAAATTCTTCGTCAATGGTATTTAAGAATATTCAAACAAATATTCGG